CGTTGTTGTACTGTGGGGTGAAGAGTGTCGGCTTGGGCGGGTCGGGGGCCGCCTTGGCCTCGGCGCCGTGGGGCACGGGGATGGGGACAGGGATGGGGATGGGGACAGGGACGGGCAGGGGCACGATGACGGGGTAGGGCACCAGCAGTGTGGCGGGGGGCACCAGCGGGGAGAGGGGCGAGCTGAAGGCCTGGGGTGGGAGGGTGGTGTAGTCGGGCGGGGGCTGGCAGGGGGTAGAGCCCAGGGCTCCCTGCGAGGGAAACAGGTCCTGAAGGACAGCGGCGAACCCCGGTGTCTGAAAGACGGGGGGCAGGACGGGCTCCTGGGCTTGGCCGGAGGGCTTGGGGTCCAGGAGCTGGGGCTGCCCGACGGGGGCGGCGGCACCGGGGAAAAGGCCGGCGTGCAGGGGGCTGGCAGGGCAGGCGGCCCCTGGGGGCAGCACCAGGGGCGAGTTCAGGTGCTGGAAGACGTGCTGCTCCAGGAGGACGGGCAGCGGGACGGGGCCCTGGCTGGTCATGACGTAGGGGGTGGCAGCGTTGGTAGCTGGCATCTGTGGGGCGGCGCTGCCGGCAACCTGCAGGTGGATGGGCAGGACGACGGGGCTGTCCCCTAGGCAGATGGGCTGCAGCACAGTGGCCGCCACCTTCAGGGCCACCCCGCTCTGCGACTCGGCCGGCGGTGTCAGGATGGAGGGCGCGGGGACGGTCACCAGCGGGGACAGGGCCTTCTTCATCAGGTCGGCCGAGTTGATGTTCCAGGCCTCCGCCGTGATCAGCTGGGCCACCCCGTTCTCCAGCTTGTTGTTGGCCATTGCCGAGGGCGAGCTGGTGACGTCCATGGGCAGGTTTGGGGCGTCCTTGTACAGCTCCTCCATGTCACAGGGCTTCTCGGGCTCTGCCGGCGCCGCCTCTACATCGCCGTCAGCGAGACCCACGGCGGCTCTGGGCTGCCAGGAGCATCGGCATGGACATAATTTGGCCTGCAAACCAGAAACATATTTTAGGCACCACATAAATCTCCTCCTTAAAATAATATTTGCAATTGCCTTTAAAGACCCCATGGTCAAAGAAAAGCCGTTAAACGTTTCCACGCTTCAGGCTAATGGCTCCATAATACAGGGTAGAGTGTGTATATATATATATACACGGAGATGCTAGATATACATACATCCATGAGTGTTGTACGAAGAGTTTTGAGGAACTTATATCTAGCCGTAAACACAGATAATTTAAAAGGCCTCGAGGGCTGCCTGCAGCCAACCCCCCCCAGTACGCAGCCTGAGAGAAGGACTCGGGCCGTCCGTTTCACATTTTTAAACAAATGACAGTGCACGGCAGAGCCGTGCGACAGCGCACTGTTTTAACTCAACAAAAGCCCCACAACCAAACATTTCTAAAAATAACGTGGCTAAGAAATGTTCTGCCATGGGCAAAGGGTCCTTGCTTCCCCTAAAATACTCGTCCCTTTTTTTGTCCCAGTGGGATTTACTAAAGGCAAGCAGGCGAGTGCTGCACGCTGCGTACAGCACCTCCGAAACTGCCATGTGCAGGGTGAGAAAGGAGCAAATCCAAACCAAACCCCGACATTTGCCCTGCCACAGAGAGAGTCATGTGAACATACAGACGGTCATGTGAACCAGGCACCTGAGTCATAAAAGACATGAAGAATAAAAAAATAAAATCAAAGCAACTTCAAGTTTATTTTGACAACACAACCCTTTATATTAACCTAGCAAATGGCAGTTAAAAAAGGGCAGAGATGGTTTCCATTTATGATTGCAGTGAAATTTGCAGCCTATTTCCTAAGAAGATTAACATCCTCTTCCTCTGAAAAAAAAAAAAAGCAGCAAACTAATGGCGCTGCGTGTCCATTTACTCAGGAGGATAAATAATTCCTGCCCCGCGAGCTGCCGCCGGCAGACTTTGGCTGGGGGCTGGCCGCTCCGGCTGGCACCGCCCGTGCCTCTCCCGAAGTGCGCGGTGCATCCTGCCCTAGTAATAATCACCATGGAAACTTGTCCACTTTCAACTCCGTTACCATGGGAAAGCACCGGCGCACCCCAAATTTACATTTTTCACCTGCACGCAGCTGAATCCCGCTCCCTACGAAGGAGATGGGTGCCATCGCCGCCGCCCGGCTGGCCGGGCCGGTGGGAGCGAGGCGCTTCCCCGCGTCCCGCAGGCACGCTGGCGTTGGGGTGATGGGAAGGGCAGCGCCACTCCGAAATTGGATGGGTGAGGATCCCAGCCTGGGGATGTGTCTGTGTCTGAGAGCGCACGAAGAGCTCCGCCGGCCCTGGCACTTACAGAAATGATTTGCTCGCATAGATGTTTGTAGGACTGACGAACCTGCAAACTAAGAGGGGACAGGGAAAAGGGGAAAAAAAAGCAGACCTCATGAACAAAGGCTAAAAAATGGCCAAGGCAGGGAAGCGGGAAATCTCCCGAGTCTCTCCTGAGACCTGTAAATCCTTGGATTTGGCAGCGAGATGCCATGGCGAGCGCAAGACTACAGAAATGTCGGGAGTTAATAGTGGAGGCTGGCTGGGTAAAATGCTAATAATTTATCAGGCGCGTTTGAGTTCTTAAAAAGGGTTTTTAAAAGTAAACAGATGAGTCATTTCTTTTCCCCTCCTGCTGCTGGCTTATGGAGAATAATTCCGGATTTTTCTCATCTCGTGAAATGTTCTGCAGAAAACATTCACAAATACAGGGTTGAGGTTTTTTTTGTTTCCTTTTCCAGCCTCGGCTGAGACAGATTACAGGCAGGCAGCGATGCCCAGGCAGTGAAAAACAGGAGCAAAAATCAAATCCCTTATTCAGAAAGTGACAAGTATCAGTACAAAAAAATTGGGCCAGTCTTGTTTTCAAAAAAGGAAAAAAAAAAAAAAGAAGAGCAATTGTTTCTAAAAATAAAGACGATGAGGAGACCGCTCAGCAGATTCAAGCCAAAAAAAAATAGACGTCGTCGTTTCTGTTAAGGAATTAAAAACCTATTTTCTACTGCTCTTACATAATCTCTCCCTCCCTCTTTTTAAAATGCCCGGTTTAAAGCCCTGCGGTCTCTGCAGCGCACACCAGCATCTTTGCTCCTCCAGCTGCCGCAGCACAGCCGAGTGCTTTGCACATGACACCGGCTCTTCCCCATGTTTCTGTTTGCCTGAGATGCGTGAGATTGCCGTGTTTTCATAGGGAATTAATGACCTGGCGGGGACAGGAACTGACCCCCTGTTCTCCTGGCAAGCCCATTTAACGTCGAGAAATAGAAAAATTAAGATGAAAATTACGCTGCGTAAGAGACTTGAGGGATTAGCATGCTGTACGGACCCGGGGAGAAAGAGACAGATCACCGCCGAAGATGAAAGTACAAAACATAATAAAATCCCCCCATTGCTGCTTTAAGAAGCGACAGGGCTGGAGGCAGAGGAAATATCTAGATGAGGGGAAGACGAGATCATCTATCACCATCAGACACCTTGAAGAAATGCCTGTGGGGTTGGTTTGTTTTGTTTTTTTTTTAAAGCATAGTCAAATATTGTTTTCCACGCTCAATCCTCTATGTTTCTGGGATCTATAAATCTATACTGTTGAGTTCGCAGTCCTACACTGCCTCTGGGAGGGCCCCACCATGCGAGGGGAAGGAGAAGGAGAGAAACGTGATGTGCAGCCCTTGACCCGTGTTTATGGGCTTGGGGTGGGCTTTTTCCCCTCTCACCTTTCCTACATGGAAGCGTACCTTTCCCT